AGCTGCCTTGATGGCCTGCCCCTTCTGCCCCGGGGGCAGTGAAGAGAACCTCTTTCATGCCTTCCTCGACTGTCCTCACCTGCAGCCACTCTTTGTCACCCTTGAGCCGCTGCTGCGGGAGCTGGGCAGGAACCTCTTGGAAAACACCTACGTGTGCCCCTACCCTTCCCAGGCAGCTGATCAGGGTGCCATCTGCCTGCCCAACTTCCTACTAGGTCAGGCCAAGAGCCAAGAGCCACAGCAAGAGCCACAGCAACCGGCTTACCAGGACTGGCTCAAACGATGCCCTGAGGCTTTTCTGCCTCCTGGTGCAGGTGCGCCTCTCACTGGAGTTTGAGTACACTGTGCTCTGGCAGGTAGTGCCTGACTTGGAGGCACGCTGGGCCCTTGAGGGAGTGCTATGCCATGTGGAGGACGGCCATCTTCAATATGCGCTCCGACACCATGGGCAACCAGGCAGGCTTGGCGGTGGACTGTGACACCCAGATCGTGCTGTGCCCTGGGCGCTCACCAGGCTGCTTTTTGCTTTTTTTCTTTGTGTGGGAAGTTGAAGGTGTTGACACACGTATGATTGGATACAGCAGGTTAGGAATCATGTGTTTATAGAGGGCTTTGGTCTGTATGACCATGTGGACAGTGCCCTGACTGCATAGCGGCATGTTAGGCATGACATGTAACACAGCGAAGGTGTCTGTCACAGTAGGATGTAAGGAAGGTAATGACATGGTGCTCTTGGTTTGATGGTAATTTGTTTGTCTTTGCTTTGTGTATTGGAGGTGGACTCTGGAGGGGCCAACTTTTTGTACCCTGAATCCCTGAATAAAGTAGTTAAAAGTCAAAAGTCAAAGTCTTTCTTTCTTTCTTTCTAACCCAGTTTTTGATAGATAGTCATAGTTAAAATTCTAAGGAAAGCAATAAAAATGACCAGTTAAATCCAAGTGATAAATCTACTGTATTATGCATTTGTTAATAACATTTCAATCCCACCAATATTTTCCAAATAGATTTAGAACTAATAGCAGGGATGAACAATCTGCAAAGGATTTTGTCTCTATTTTTTTCTGCTCAACTTCATATGACCTTAGAATAAATCTATTAATACCATCAACTTAGAATTTTTTTAGTAAATATCCTCTGCCCTTGAATTTGTACATACTTGACAGAGGTATAGGTCTAATAATTCACTTGATGAAGATACAATATCTTGTATGCTTCCTGGTAATTAGATACAGTGATTTATGACTGAAGTCTAAAATCTGTTCCAATCCAATTAACAAAGTTTTTAACGTGGTTTTTAACTTTTTAAATTCTTATTATATATCCATGTAATTTACCTGGGTCTAAATTTAACTAAAACCTTTGGATGTTATGGATAGCTTTTAGAGGACACACATACTGGGCTGTGATTATGAACATAAAAAGAATATTTTTTGGAACTATAATGGGATAAAGAAAGGAAACGTGAGTCCAAGTCCTGACTTTGGCAGGGCACTTGAGGCTAGATGCAATAAAGGACTTAGGATCTGTACTTCCTAACATTTTGGATTATACCCACAATCTGGCTGGAATTCAAAACTGTATTTTAGGCAAAAAGGTTTCCTATAAAGTACATAGGGTAAGTTAAGAACCTCAGAAAAGCAATCCTCCAAATTCTGCTTGCTGAATCGAAGACAGCCTAGTATTAGCCAATAGGAAATGCTAAACAACAATGTGTGTCAATGCCGGACCCTCTCTGGAGCCTACATGCCTAAGTCAGGGGGCAGGGACGTGCCTTTGTCCACTCAGAATTAAAAAACCACCCTGGTTTGCTCCTCCTGAAATCTTCAGAAGCTGTCAAATAGTCATCATTGCTCTATTCTAGAACCAATTGTGCCATATTATGGAGTAATTCTTAAGCTAAGAAAGATCTTTTGGGGATAGAAGTTAGAAAGCAGATGACCTTTTTAATATCACAGTATTTAGTAAACACCTTCTGCTGGATATACAATTTGTAAATCCTGCCTGTGAAATTGCTAAGTTACATATCTCTGAACCTCCAACAAAACCTGCAGAAATGAGACAGCTTGTAATTCTTGCTGACTAAATTCAAAGAATGTCTATATGAGACACTTACTGCTCAGCAGCCGAATAACACTGCATAGTAGCACGCCGGTCAAAAACCATGCTAATACTCTACTGTGTAGTATTATTAGACTAATGCACAGTAAGTGTCACAAAAATGTGCATCAGCACTACTGTGCAGTAGCGCAAGTTACTATGCATTTAGTTAGTACTTCATTAAGCACGTACTAAATTAAATGTGCAGTTACTACTGCTCATTAATGCATGTGTAGACATGCCCACAGTAAAATAGCAGTCTTTTATTTAATGTCAAATTTAAACTACTATGAAAGTCTTATACTCCCTACTTTGACCAACATCTTTGACCAACATCTAGTTATCTTTATTGTACCTTCTTCCATCCTTTGCAAAGGACATAAGTCTCCGCTCCACCATGTGGTTCATTTTCCATTCATGTCATTACACTTTATCTAAACACAAAACACCCTATTCCAGTGTGTCAGAACATAATCTTTATTGAAAACATTCCTTAGGAGTTGTTTTTTTTTTCCATTTAGCCCAAGACTTTCATCCAGGGGCAGATCCAGAGGGGGTGCAGAGGTATGCCTGCACTTCCAGTTTCCGACCATGCAGCAGAAACAGCAGCCACACAAATGCTTTTTAAGTTCCCTTTTTTTCAGCACCACTTTTTAAGTCCCTAAAGAAGAATCCTTCTTCCCTTCTCCACCATGCTTAGAAGTATGCCCCTTCCCCTCCTGTCCCCATCCTTTCCTCTTCCATATAGTTGTATGTAGTTATCCTTAACACTTTTATAAAATTCATATTGCTTAATAAAACTTCCATAAAAGCTATTCAAGATCCAAAATATTAGGTCTGTCAAACGATTAAAAAAATGATCATGAATAGTTGTGTAATTAAAAAAATTAGTCACAATTAATCGAGATTTTAATCGCACAGCTAAAAACTCAAAATTATGTGCAGAAAAACCCAAAATTATGTAGGTACTTTGTATGGTTGGGAGTAGGGGTGGGGTGTGTGTGGGGGGGTGGAATTTGTGAATGTGTGGGGGCTGTGGGTGGGTGTGTGCAGTTTGGAGCCGGGGTGGGGGGTGGCACATGAGGGTCTGGAGCCCGGGGAAAAGGGACCTCTGCATGCCCTGGCAAGTTGCGGGGTATTGTGGGTCAGGAGTGAGAGGCAGCAGTAGGACTGGTGGGGCTGTGGCTTGGAAGTGAGGAGAAGGGGCAGGGCACGGGCATATCACTGCCCCCCTCAATCATATTACACCCCCACCCCAGGTGTCAACTTTTTTAAAACTAGAAATATGGTAACCCTACAGAAATACAGCCCAGTGGCATATAGAGCAGTGCCCAGCAGGTATGTCTGTGGAGGGAAAAAAGGTGTGGGGGATGGATTGAGGAAACTATGGTGAGGCAGGGAGTGGGGCAGGGGCGGGGACTGGGGTGAATGGAACCCTGAAGCTGGGGTGGGTCATGGGACAGAGCTGTGGGCTGCTTATCTAGGAAGATGGGGGAGCACCTTCTGGCCACTGTGCACACCTGGGAGAGGCATGGGGAGCATGTGCCCCCAAGATTTGTGCATGGAGAGAAGGTGGGCTGTCCACTGAGGGCTGGGGCTCTCTACCCTGCTGCCTCTGCCCCAAGAACCACACACTGGCTGTGCTGCATCCCCTACTTGCTCAGCAATGGGAAGTGCAACATGGCATTGCATGGCTTCCCATGCAGTAGGGTACAGAGCAGTAGGGGCAAAGGCAGTAGGGTACAGAGCCCAATCTGTAGCAGGCAGTCTACATCTACCCCATGTACAAATCAGGGGGCACATTCCCCCTATCCCTCCTATGGGGGTGCACTCAGAGGCCCTGAGCTACCCCCTGACTCTTAAATGAACTGCCCCAGCCCCAGGGTCCCATTCACCCCAGCCCTTGCCGCTCTCCCTGCCCCACTCCCTCCCTCGCCATGGAGGCCTTGATTTCCCCACTCACCCCTTTCACATCCTGATATGGCATCGATATATAAGTGCACCTCTAAGTGTGTGTGTGTGTGTGTGTGTGTGTGTGTGTGTGTGTGAGAGAGAGTGTGTGTGTGCACACGCGTGTCTGTGTGTGTGTGTGTGCGCATGCGCACGGGTCTCTCTGTTTGCCCCTGTATGTGTGTGTCTGGCCCCTCCTGCCTTCCAGATGCAGCAGCCCAGAGCCTGCATCTGGGCTTCCTTGCAGCTCCTTAGTGGTGGAGAGGAACCCAGGCATGGGCTCCTAAACCACATGCATGATTAATGCATTAAAAACATTAACAAGTGAATTATTCTTCCATTAATTGCACAAGTCAGCACCGATTAATTGATAGCTCTAAAATATATATATTCAAACATTAACTTATTTCTTATTATTACATTCATATTTGTTTAACTGTATATTTAAATATGGTAGTAGCAATATTTATATGCCACCATCATATGCCATATTTAGATTTTATGTAGATGATGGTTAAAACAGGACTGTTTAAGTTATACAACCTCTCCCCTCCCCTCCCCTCCCCTATGGTGGTTCAAATAAAATACAACATATTTCTGAGCTGCTAGTGGCATTGAAAAACCAAATCACAGTCCCTTCATCTCATTTACAATACTAATTAGACTCAGCATGTGTATCTTTTTCTAAAAATGCTAGTTAAAAGGCAGAGGGCCAGACCCCACTGCTGTTGCTCATGCAGACTCCAACCAGATTCCTTGGGAATTTACCTGAATAAGAGCCATAGGTTCAGGTACTGAATTTGTAAGCCAACTCTGAAAACAGACATATTTTCAAGTGGATTTTATATTAAAGTCTTCACAGCACTGTATTAACTACATCTAAAAAAGCCACTTGGTTGTGACCATTTCTTTTTACAGCCTGATAATTAGGAAAGTTCTATAAAGGCACTTACCTACAAATAGCTGACTGTTGAGCTGCAAACGAATATGCCCATCAGATGGAGCAATGTGAGTCCTTTGAGGAAGCTGATCTATTTGTAATGATGCATCCTTGATGTTTCTTTCAGCCTTCACATAATGCCACTGGTTGTCATTTAAGGGAGTGGGTGATTGCACTGTAACTTCATTAGGTCCATTTCCCACATCAAATGAAAAGGTCACTGCAGCAGGAGCTAAAAGCATAATCCAGGTAAGAGTTTGCTCAAGTTAACTCACATGTAAAAATGTTTAGAATCTTGGGTCACAAAAGTAAAAGTCACTAAATGGCACAGAGAGGTACTGTCTCAAAATGTCTATCCTATAGTCCTTCCTTCTAGCTATGAGATAGTAAGATTATTTGTTTTATGTGGAAACTTGATTTCAGCAGACCCATCCACACATTTCACTCTTCATATCATCAGGTATTGAAAGCAAAAGTTTGCCTACAGCATGAACACTGAGGTGGTTGAGGCCTCATAGTGAGTGTGCTAGTCATAAAACAGAAAATGTGCTAGTTTCCTTAGCTTTCAATTTGGATAAAAAACATGTCCTGCCAACATGCTAATTGGTTGTCATCAGAAGCTTTAAATTTTACTTATCACCACCATTGATTTTTTTTTTTCCTTTAACAAAATCAAATCTACACATTGGTAGAATGTTTGTTTTATGTTACCACAATTTTCACAGACAAAGAAGAACATATTTTGGCCTACAGAACATATATACTAGGTTATGTAAAGCATTTATGTATTTTATCAAAAAAATGAATTTTTGCCAACCAGCAAAATACTCTCAATTTCTCTCTCAACTTTTGGTGAAAAGTACTATAATGTCTGTGCATTGCCATCACTTAAAAAGGTAATTAAATGAATCTCATTTGGAGGTGAAATGCTTCTGGAACGAACAAAATTATCTTGATATTATTCTACAATATACTTCACTCCTTACAATTTCCTTTTTCATAGGTCTTAGAACTTTGAAAGGGAGAAGGGATACATTTTATACCCCAAATAGCTATATCAAGTTTTAGTATACCAAAGTCAAAAAACTTGGTATACTGCTGCCTGTAAATCTCTTTTTGAACAGCTTTTTAAAGTACAGCTTATGTTAAATCTTGACCTTAAGGTAGAACAACTCACTCAGCCGACTTCTCATATGTGTAGTCAATAGGAACTGACTGGCCACAATTCCTTCACATATTTTTGAACATGTAAGCTTCCACTACAAAGTACAATAATAGGGCAGACTTTCAGCTAGAATAAATCAACATATATCCACTGATGAACAATCCTTAGAAGATTATGGTTCAACAAGCAATTAGAGTTTTTTAGATAGCAAGACCTGGCATATAATGTTTCTTTTCTAATGCCAATGCTGTTTAAGGAAAAGTACTCCAACATTTTGGCATGGCCAAAGAAAGTATTTAAAGCTAAAATACAATGTTGAAAATATGTGTTGTTAACATATTTTAATGCTTGAGCTGGGAAGATTAATTATAAGTATTTTCCATAAAAAAAGATTTCTGCTTAATAACTTCCTTAACTCCAAGGACCATGTATATCTTATGCGTGCGTGTGTACAAACACATATCCTGTTTAAAATAATGTAAAAAAAAAAAAAATCAAACAAGTGATGCCTTATCAAAAGGCTCTCAGTAACTTTAGCTAAGGGTATTAATAAAGAACTATAGGACTAGGCAAATAGAAAATATTTCCATTAACTTCAGTAGACTCTGGATTAGACTCCAAGGGAAAAAGCAATAAGATTTAGAGGTGGTCAAAGGAAATTAAACATTTACAAACATAATTTAAAACAAAACTCTAGGCCTTTTTGAATCGTTTAGGAAGTAGATGGGGTTACTGTCTTAGAGATTAATTTTTCCTCTTTTTAAAGTTATCTTGATATTTATATAACGCCTTTAATCCACTTTGGCCAATGTTCACACTGACATACTAAAGTCATGCAATCCTACTGAAAACAAAGGGACTGAATTGTTATTAAATCAGCACAAAACAGCTTCTGCTGAGAACCCTGCAATAAAGTAAGACAAGTACATGGGTGTTTTGCTTTCTAATTAAAAGCAGCCATATATCGCAACTTATTTTTAAGCAGAACTCCCCTCTGAAATCAATTATCAGTTTGGCTTAAAAATCAATTCATTATATGGAGCTGAATGAATAGAACAGTTGGTGTTTAATAATAGCTCAATAGTAAAATAAATCATAGAGAAAGTTCTCACTAGATAGACTTATTTGTGAATCAGTCTCCCCGTTTTACATGAAAAAAATGAGAATACAAAATCAGCAGAAATTCCATGAAATCAGACACAGATTCAGCAGAATGTTTCCTTCACGGAGGAGGGAGGGGTTTATTTCAATGGACAATTTTGGGTGAAGCCTGAAAACACAAATTCTGCTTTGAACAAACTAAATATGCTTGTCAGATGGCAAATTAGATAATAGACCCGATAAATAATGTGGCTGTGCAGTCTCTAATGCCGACACAATTTAAAATGAATGTTTGAAATATCCAAATGAAAGAATGATATTGAAAACTATAAATAAATCTGGAAAAGTGGCTGATTAAAGACAATAGCACACATTCTTCCTAACCCTGTAAAACTAGTAATCAAATATTTCCTATAGGGGTTGATTCAGTCCCTGTATTTTAAGAGATAGCTGTAGGAAATACTTTTCTTCTCCCATGGATGACTAGTGCTTTATAACGTATTATACCCTGATGCAGTGTAATTTTCATGACTATTTGTAAAATGAACAGCCCTACAGCTTAGAAATTTCCTATAAGAATCTTGATCTGACATTCCTTGGTCAGGCAAAAGTAAGGATAGAGCCTTAAAAGCCTTAAAACCAGTAAGTTATAAATAAAGGTCAAATATTAAGCCATAATAATGTTAAAAATAGACTTTGCACTACTGTGCAATGTTAAGTATTAATGGTATAGTAAGTTTTAAATCATTTTGAATATATCCTTACTTTAAATGCTGTCCCAAACCTGACATTTTAATTTTTGTTATTTATTATTACACAAGACAAATATAAGACATTGATTTACATTGACCCATTAATAACATATTGAATGTAAGTTGGTGAGTTACATTACAATATATTAGTAATGAATTTATTATGAAAAAAAAACCCTTAAATGATTCCAAGCAATGTCGAATAGTCAAGGCGATAAAATCTTTTGTTAAAATCAGAAAATTTATATTTTTATAAAAGCAATTATTTAATTTGCTGTACCCCTAGAAGAAAGATAAATTATATTTATAGGCCAAAGCCAACATTGCAGTAGCTACTAGGCATTTTTTAAGCATTCATGTCAGACATTGTCTTCATAATTAACCTTATAAAACACACTGCCACAGTCTGTACTGCTGCAATTTCAGAATAGTTTGAGGGTGCAGCTCACAAAGTACGTAGAAGTAAATAAGCCTCATGGGTGACAGATGTCCCCATTCATATGAAAAGGAGTTAGAGCTCCTTGCCAAGTACCAAGAATAAGAACTGTATGCCATAAATTCTGACATCTGAAAGCACAATTGCTAAAGTTTTAAGGTTTCTTCTTGTGAAACAAATGATGAACTTAGGAAATTATGAACTTCCACCTATTATGGTGGAACTTTTTCTGGATTAGTTCTCAGCTACCTAATCTTCAACTGTGTCCCAATCTGTCAAGAATTGGATTTGTCATCTCTTTGCAGTTTAGTAGTAGTAAAAGATGTGCATATAGCTGTGGATTCTTACAACTGGTACTTCCTTCCTGGCCTAAAATGCATGTCTTTTAAGAAAGGTTAATACATGGAATATTTATACATTTATTCTATGGAACACTCAGAGTGAAATTAATGTAGCCAGTGAAAAGTTACAGTTAATCACTACCTACTTTAGTGTACTGTGTGAACCTCCTAACACCTAACTGGCAAATGTAGTTGATACTCAAAAGAATAAGATTGAACATCAGTGCCAAGAGGTTAAAGAATAAGATTGAACATCAATGCTGGTGAAGAATCAATATCACTACTGCAGTCTTCAGAATTAAAACTCAGTGAACTGGGGTCAAAGCAGACCTGAGGAATCCAGATACTGCTGGACCTGTTTTGTCACAACCTACTTGATAATCATTTTCTGCAATGGGTGATTTAATATTAGATGATACTGGGAGGAATTCTCCATGTTCAAAGATAGCTTTTCAGTAATGTTCCTAATAACTATGTGCGGGCCGGGAGCGCTCCAGGCCCTTTTTCGCGCCATGCGGGCTGTGGCCAGCAGCCCAGGCACGCTGGGTCGGAGAGAACAGGCGACACGCTGGAATTAGGCACGAACGCGTAATGGTCGATTCAAGATTGTTTACTTACACCGAAGATGGTCGCGGTGTAGGCTGGACAGTTTCCCAGGCACAGCTCCGCTTAAATCCTCATTTGAGGACTCAGACAACACTCAGATCACTCCCACGGAGTTGTCGAGGCTCCGTGGATCCTTTTGCGCGCAGGGAGAGGGATACGTCGAGGATTGCGATTGGTGACGGGGAGAGGCTAGAGGCTGATCAGACCCCTGTTGCCTGCTTGAAATACACTGGGTCCAATAGGCTCCGCAGCGCTTAGAGATCTTCACACAGTGTGAAGTCTCCTCCTCCTGGTGTTCGTGGAGTCCTCCAACTTGGGCAGAAAAACTCTTTGCAACGAGAATTTCTGTGCTGCAACAAAGAAATGCGCCCTGCAAAGAAAGCTACAAATTGGCGGGAATTCTTTTGCACCAGGGCTTTCCTCTGCAGTAGAAAACTCCACCGTGCAAAGAAGCTGCAATTTAGCGGGAACATAATTCAGTGGTGCCAAAGCACACACAAAACAAAAATCACACCCTTGGGTTGTGACAAACTACTTCTTTAGAGAGAGGTCAGCATTTTGCCCTCCTTTAACTGATAATCAATTCCAGCAATGACCCTAACACCTCCCTAAGTAACTTAGATCTAGTAACCCATATATTTCCAGCTTCTGACAGAGTCTACACAGTATCAATATGCTAAAACTGAGAGAGAGAAATCTAAAAAAACAACTCTGTGGCAACAGAAACATTAACATCTGACTGGTTTTATCATCTTTATCTATCTTTACCATCAGCCATTCAGGACAAACCTAAGGGTTTTTTTTGGAACAGGTCTAATTCTCAAGAGAATGAAAGTAACTATGGTCCAAGTAAAGAAACCTTTCTGTCCTTCCTGCAGAATTGTGGCATAAATCTAAAAATAATTTAATGATGTAACTCATTTAATTTAGCATGGGTGTTCCACTACCAACATTAATTCCTCTTGTTCCATTAGTCATAAGTCATCTTAATAATGTGTATGAGTGATGAAAATTTAGGAAGATTGTGATTAGATTGAGGGACGTGATATAAGTACAGTAGAATACAGATCATCCAGGCATCCAAATGATTCACAGTCTGTTTATTTTGCAGCAGGTTGCCAAATTAAGGATGAACCATTCAGCAGTTTGCTGTGGGCACTGCTTCTCCTCTCAGCTGGAGCTCAGCAGCAGTCCTGAGCAGCTGATAAGAGCACGGCTGTCTTTTGAAATAAAAGCTGTAGCAAATAATGGGAGCACCTCATTCATTTTATATCCCATGGTAACTTTATAAACGCTCATCTTTACAGCAAGGTAGCCCTACCAAATAACTAGGTTCTGCTGTATGTGTAAATACAGGTATGTAAAACTAGAGACCGGATCAGATTGGTGAACACGGCAATGGAGTTTTTCCTATTTGGAATTCACCTACATGGATCTGTGCATTCCATCTCCTGATTATACCATTTATTTTGAAATGTCAGCATTTTGAGCTGGGAACATCAGTATCCCACAAGAACATCATTACAGTTTCTGACATTCTGCTTTGGCGTGCTAAACAAGAGCATATATTGATGTTTCCCGTGTTTCGCAGCTCTCTGAGGCTATTGCATCACTGTACTTCATACCAATTCACACCATTCTAACACAAGCTAATTCAATAATATTGCTGCCTGACATGGTAAAACACTGGGGAAAATACAGTTTATCTCATTTAAACTTTGGTACTATAGTCTAGGAGACAATCGGAACCAAAGATCATCAAGTGTAGCTACTGAGATTTAATTTGCACATGTAGCAGGGGCCCCCTTGAGTCTGGGAGTCCCATCAGCCAACAAGTTCCTAGCCACAAGGGTGCACCATGCCCAGCTGGGGCTGGGAGTCCCACAACTCTCATCCCCAGCAGCCACTGATTCTGGGACCTGGCAGCACAAGTACCCAGAAGCCCAGAGGTGTGGATGCTGGGTGCTGGGACCCAGCTGGATACCTACAGCCAGGGGGCATGGCTGTCTTGGGGTTCATAAAGCCCCTGGGCCTGGGGGACCATGGCCCCTGCAATCTCCCAGGCCCAGGGGTACCTGCAACCCCATATGTGGATGGCAGAAGGCATGATTGTATAGATTGTATATTATATCCCAAAATGCCTTCACTTGTACATGTACAGGGGGACCTAGTACTCTGTTGTGTTTTTCAGCTTTGTTTATTGTGCAAGAATACCTGCAAACTGGCTATAAACAGTGATCTTTCCAAATCATCAAATATGACTTCTTTATTTTACAGAAGTGTTTTTTACAGTATTATTATATACATCCCCCATTTTTCACTGATGTGCCCATATTTTTAAGCGGACTAAAATAGTGCTTCTTTAGGATACACAGAACTATTCGATTCTAAGGTAGAAAATTCATTAATAACTTTCACAAGAAAAACTGACACAGACTCATATGACTATAAAGCTCAGTGGTTGCCAAGCAATGTGACATTTAAAATGAAAACTTAGTGTCTAAAGCGGTATGTCTCCATCTTTGAAGTCTCATGTCTTCAATAAGTTAAACCAACAGACAAAAGCCTGCGATCACACGCTCAAATGTAAAATTGTGAGTCATCTCATTAAGTTCAATGCAACAACTCCACTGTGTAAGGACTATACCTGTGAGTAATAACTTGCAGGACTGGAAATGTAAAAAGAAGAAAATGGAGGAAGAAGAAGCTTCTACATAAGGTTGAGAATAGGGTTTGGTTCCTAGCTTTGTCATAGCATGACAACATCATTCATCTGTTTCTCTATGCCTCAGTTCCCCATATGAAAATTGTTGTTCTCCCACTTTTTGTCCATTTTGTCTGTTTGGATTATAAACTGTCTGGGAGTAAAGATTACCTCTTAATGTATGTTTGTACAATGCCTAAATGAATGGAGTTCTGATCTCAGTTGGGGCCTGCTGTGTGCTACTATAAGAATAGTAAACAGATAATCAAACACAAACAATAATAATAATAATAATAATAGAGAAAAATTTAAATATCATGGACCTTTTGGGCTGAATTTTCATTTCATCTAAACCAAAGCCTTAGTAAATAGGACTTACCATACAGCTCTATCCTTATGAAGTCCTTAATGCCAAGGTTCTCTAAAAACACACCAGAAGAAGCTGTAGTCTTAAAGAAGAATGACACATCTGCACTGAGTTCTCCATGGAAAGTAGGGAAATGAAGATATGAGGTCTCAGTATTGAAGGAGGCTGAATTCCAAAATGTTCCTGGTTACAGTAAAAGATAATGTTAAATGAAATTGCAGGTCCAATATTGTTCCATACAGAACTGGAACATTAAAAACAAAAGTAATTAAAAAGAACAGTCGCTGCAAAGGGCAGTATGTAAAGCATTACATGTGTTTCAACTCTCAAAGTAAAGAAAAACAATGATTTTAGATGAGTTGAAATTCCACCTCTTCCAGTAGCATGTTACCTGAGTGACTACTGGTAGAAAGTGGTCTGTATATTACACTTCTAATTAATCAAAAATAGCTGAGTTTATAAACAGAAAACCTGATCCTACTGTTACTGAAGTCAGCGGGAGTTTTGCCACTTACAGTAAATTCAGTAGGATAAGGCTCTCAATAATTTTTGTAGAAGTTGTTAAATGTTAAACTTCTATGTAAGTGTTTTGCCCTTTAATTGATTACAGTTTAGGGACTCATATTGCTTCCTTACCCACTTGATTAGTCCAAATGAAGTCAACGTAACTACTTGGGTAAAGGTTACAAGATCAGACCCATATAGTTTCCATTGGTTTTATTTTTTTCCATCAGTTGACATTTCATTATAATTTGTTCAAGTTTGCTCTTGACTATTAAAAAGGTTATCGAAAATCCCTAGTAAAACTCAGTTCCAGTGGGGATATGCTGCCCAACTAGAAACATCTTGTTATTACTGCTAACTTCTTACAGGTGTATTTCTCTCTTTAATAAGCTATATTGCTTTCGAAATCAAATGAAGCATTCAATATCTTCTTATCAAATTAAGCAAGAACAGTGTAGTTTCATAGTTTCATAATTGGTAGGGTCGGAAGGGACCTGAGCAGATCATCTAGTCCGACCCCCTGCCATGGATAGGAAAGGTTGCTGGGGTCAAATGACCCCCGCTACGTGGCTGGCTAGCCTCCTTTTGAAGAAGCTGTCTAGCCTCCTTTTGAAGACCCCCAGGGTAGGGGCAAGCACCACTTCCCTTGGAAGTTGGTTCCAGATCCTAGCCGCCCTGACTGTGAAGTAGTGCCTCCCGATATCTAGCCTGAATCTACTCTCAGTCAACTTATGGCGGTTGTTCCTTGTTATTCCCAGTAGTGCTCGGGGGAAACAGGGACTTTCCCATTGCCTGCTGGTCCCCCTTGGCAAGTTTATAGGCAGCCACCAGATCCCCTCTTAGCCTTCTTTTGTGGAGGATGAACAGGTTCAGGTCCTGTATCCTCTCCTCGTAGGGCCTGCCCTGCTGTCCCCTGATCATGTGAGTGACCCTCCTCTGGACCCTCTCACTACTGTCCACGTCCCTCCTGAAGTGTGGTGCCCAGAACTGGATGCAGTACTCCATCTGCAGCCTGACCAATGTTGCATAATGTATATTCTTCTTTTAATATCATAACTCCTAAATACTTAAAAAATTATGACTTTCCCCCTAAGAACTCTCAAAGTTAAAAAAAAGATGAAATATATTAATTTCTCTCTTATCCATAATGTAGACCCATGTCACATTGTGGACATCCAATGTCTACCAAAGTTGGGACATTCTTGCATTCTGGAAATTCCCCAACCATAAATGCCTTTGCCAGCTGGGCCATTATTTGGATAAGGGATGTGCTATTATTTAGATAATGGGATGTATCAACAACAGTAAACATATGTTCCAGAACTGGTAGAACAAAAGAGTAGTTTACATCTCCCACTCCCGAGTTATGCTGTAGGCTCTTCAGTGGTAGTCAAGGACCTGAATCTGTAGTTCCAGAGGAAGCACCATGAAGATAAAACAGTCAGGACACCTGCAAATGTGCCTGACACCTGCTAATTAGACTTGATTAATTTAGTCTGCTAATTATTATGCTCCAGCAGCCTCAGTGTCATGTGTATTCAGTGTCCCCATGCTTCAAAATGGCAGTGGGGGCGCCTTAACTAAATCTTGTAAAACAAGCATAGTTAAAGAGTCCGCACTGCTGGTTTGAAGAGCAGGATGCTGAATACATGAGACGCTGAGGGTGCTATCATTACAGCGGCTCCTGAAAACCGCTCTAATTAAAGTACGCCCTCCAACATCAGAGCACATGTAAAGACACCCTCAGACTGTAGAATCCTTCTTTGAGTCTGTGGTTTTTCTCTGGTCATAGCTCCTACAAAGCTGAACTTCAGTGCCATTATGATTAGAGCACATGACGACTATTTAGAAAACAATGGGTTGGCTGTTGTCAGTAATTTAAATACAATAGGAAGTTTAATACTAGCAATTTATACAAAATTGGGAAAACATTGCTGACAATTAAAAGGGAAAAAAGACAATGATCCAACAAATAAATGACGTGTTAAGCTTCAATGAAGCATTTCAATGGTCCTGACTCGGGAGAATGAAGCCTTTAGCAGTGGGGACAGATTGGTTAGTTTTCATTGCCATATCATTTAACAAGTACACTGGAACATTTTAAGTGAAAGGTAGAAAAAATCCCTTCTACTTTGATTATGGCACCTCTGATCTCATTTGAAACCCTCAGATGGGAAGTTCTGCTTGTATACTAAAATAAAGTTATTATGCTTCCTATTCCTCTCTTACTCCATCTTATTTTTGTATTCTTTTTTACTGCATTATCCCAATCCTGAAACAGGTGCATGAAGTATTTAAGAATATAAAAATACAAAAATAAAACCAAATATAGCCCTAGCAGAAGCAAATACATAGGGAA